TTTTATTTTTTTAGTAGTTTTTTTTGATGTAATTATATGGTAAATACTTTTATTATAAGATTGTAATTAAAATTTTGATATAATTAATGTAAATATATTTTGATAGCACTAATTGAAATAGTCCAAATCAGCTAAAAATTGGATAGCTGATTTTAGGCTGATTTTGATACTATTTATGACCGATTTGCCATATTTTCTGATTGGTACAAACAGGTACTGATAGACGCTGATCGACCCCAATCGGATATGGCCATTCGAAACTTAAATTCAACTATAAATCAGCCTAAAACTGGTCATAATTCAGTAACAATTTAGATGCCGATAAATACTGATCAACATGGTCATTCAGCCTAAATTGATCTTAATTCAGTATCATTCAGCATTAATTCAAAACTTAAATAATATAAATCAGCTTAAAATTGACCTCAATTCAGCATCATTCGGCATTAATTCAGAACTTAAATAACCATAAATCAGCCTAAAATTGGCCTCAATTTAGTATTTATTTAGTCAAATAAGTATATAAAATCGATATATTATATTTATTAAATTTATTAAATATTATAATTTTATTAATAATAAAACCTAATATAATTCGCAAAAATATAATATAAATATTACCAAAACTCATTAATTAATTTCCTATCTAAAAATATAAGTAAAAAATGGAAAAACTATGTAAAATAATAAAAATATAATCCATTTTCCTTCCAAAATCCCCTTAAATCATCCTAAATATTCATTATAGTAATATTGCCATTCTCGAAAAAAAAGAATGAAAAATCAGAAAAATTACAAAAATTTAACTTAAATTTCGTCTGATTTTGATAGTTGAAAGCATATTTCTATTATAAAAAGTAAAAAAATCAGAAAAATTCAATATAATTTTCGTCTGATTTGATAGTTAAAGGCATGTTTCTATTATAAAAAGCAAAAAAATCAGAAAAATTCAACTTAAGTTTCGTCTGATTTGATAATTAAAGGCATGTTTCTATTATAAAAAGTAAAAAAATCAGAAAAATTCAACTTAAGTTTCATCTGATTTGATGGTTGAAGGCATATTTCTATTATAAAAAGCAAAAAAATCAGAAAAATTCAACTTAAGTTTCGTCCGATTTGATGGTTAAAGGCATGTTTCTATTATAAAAAATAAAAAAAATCAGCTTATTTTTGAAAAGTTGACTAAAATACAGCTTTTTCTTCGTCTGATTTTGATAGTTGAAGGTGAAAATTGACTAAAATTTAACTTAAAGTCTTTTTGTTCTTGGGGAGATTTTTTTTCAGGATTTTGGTGGAATGTAAAAAGAGAAAATTTGGAAATGATTGAAATTATCTTTTTAAAAAGTTAAAAAATTAAGTTTATTTATATAAATATTCCTATATACCAGAAATAAACTCAAATAGTACATATTAAATCAATATTATTTTAGCAATCGGTTAAATCTAAAAGTTCGGTTCTTAGGAACAATAAATAATAATACTATCGTTCCTAAGGAATGATAATACCATCATCCCTAAGGAACGATAAAACTATCGTGCCTTAGAAACGATAAATGTATCGTACTTAAGGAACGATAAAATCATCATTCCTTAGGTATGATAATACCATCGTCCTTAAGAAATGATAAATGCATCGTACCTTAAGAACGAAAATACCATCGTCCCTAAGGAATGATAAATGCATCGTACCTTAGGAACGATAATACCATCGTCTCTAAGGAACTATAAATGCATCGTACCTTAGGAATGATAATACCATTGTCCTTAAGGAATGATAAAACCATCTCTAAGGAATGATAAATGCATCATACCTTAGGAATAATAATACCATCGTCTCTAAGGAACGATAATACCATAGTCTCTAAGGAACGATAATACTATTGTCTCTAAGGAACAATAATATCATCATCCCTAAGGAACGATAAATGCATTATCCCTAAGAAACGATAATACCATCGTCCCTAAGGAACAATAAATGCATCGTCCCTAAGGAACAATAAATGCATCGTACCTTAGGAACGATAATACCATCATCCCTAAGGAACAATAAATGTATTGTACCTTAAGAACAATAAATGCATTATACCTTAGAAACAATAATACCATCGTCCCTAAGGAATAATAAATGCATTATACCTTAGGAACAATAATACCATCGTCCCTAAGGAACGATAAATGTATCATACCTTATGAATAATAATACTATCGTCCCTAAGGAACGATAATACCATCGTATCTTAAGAATGATAAATGCATTGTACCTTAGAATGATAATACTATCGTCTCTAAGGAATAGTGCAACCATTCCAATCGGACGTCAATCAGTTATAAATAAGATAGGTTAAATTTTAATATATACCAATCGGCTATAAGTATGCCAATTGGCTATAAATAAGATAGGTTGAATTTTGGTTGATTCTTGGCCAATTTCTGATGTATGCTAATCGGCTAGGCTGATTTTTGATAATTTGCCAATTTTAGACTAATTTTAGGCTGATTTAGGCTGATTTTAGACCGATTTTCACATGTCCGATTTTTTTGATTTCGACTAGTGTAGTGTATAATAGCTTACATTTATATATTAATTTGATATTTATTTATCATATTATATAGTTATTTCATATTAGATTTATGTAATAATTCATATATTTTACTTTTTAATTTATTAATAATATCAACTATAAAATTTGATTTGATAGAGAAAATTTTGACATAAGATTAATAAATAAATTACTTTATATAATAACAGATTCTTTAATAGAAAAATAAATTAGCATTAAAAGAAATTATTATTATTAGTAAACTTACCTCAATTTCATAAAAATCTGATTCTGTTTATTTTTGTTAATAGCTTCATATATATATATATTAATTTATAATAAAAAAAGGTTATACAAATTCTTATTAATATTTTTATATAATATCAGTTCATTTAAAATAAATAGCATAATTTTCATTAAATTATAATATTCAGATGTAATTAAATGATTTAATCTTTCAATTCTATTTTTAAAAGAATTTAAGATAAATGTTCTTTAAAAATTCTTATTGAATTATTACTATAATTAGATTTCAATAATTCTACCAGTCATAAGGTTTAAGGCTAAATTGCAGATCAAAAATAGTCAACAAAAGCAGAAAAATCAATATGATAAGAAAATCAAAATGAGATCTCAATTTAAAATAGGAAATAAAGTCCTATACTATAATGTAACAAATGAAATAAGAAGATCTGAAAATTAGATCCAAAATGAAAAGAACCCTATTATATCTATGATATTTTGATAAATGGGTCTTATAAGTTGTATAAAATAGAAAGATAAATTTTGCCAGTAAATACACAATTAATAAAAGCTTATTATAAAGATTAGATTAGTTTTTTTTCTTTTATCTGATCATTATTTTTTTTATTTATTTTTATATATATACTCTTTTAATACATAAAGTTGTAAAGTAAAATTTTTTTACAATATCTAAAATTATTAATTCTCAATGAATACAACCTTTATATAAAGATTTAGAATAAAACTCTTTTCTTGAAATTCCCTTCAGAATACTCTTTAATAATGATATAACCTTACAACAAAAGTTCAAAATACATATCGAGTATTATTAAAAGCATGTAAAATAAGAGATTGTATACTTATTCTTTTAAATACCTATTACTTAAAATAACTCTTAAAGACTAAATCAACTAATCCTTCTGAAAGAATAATATTGAAAAATATGATAACTATTTATTATCGATTAGAAGTTACCAGAATCTATTATTTGTTTGAGTTTTTAGGAGTAGAACAAATTCAATGAATTCAAATTATCAATTTTATAACTATATAATAACTTAAAGCTTTTGAATTCAGAACTTTAGTTAATTATGCTCACTAACATTCTATCAAAAATGAGAAAGAAACTGATAAATTTCTCTCAGAGTTTAAAAATTAGGAGGGAAGAATTATTAGCTGCAAATTATATTACGTTTTAAATGATCTTCAACTGCGCCAAATATTATACATATTAAACATGTAATACATATATCATTTGATCAACTTTGTAATATATGTATTGAGTAGTTTACCTTTTAATATAAATAAATATTATATAGTCTACGTTTTATTATTTATATTATTTTCATTATATATACTTTCAAAAGCGTAACATAATAATAGCTAACAATTTCATATAAATAGATCTGTAATTTGATCTTGAATTGATAGAGTTTGATCAAACAATTTTCTGAATAACTCTTAAGACTAGACTTATAACTCTACAGTTAATAAAGTTACTATTTTACACTTTCAATCTTCTTCTTATCTTCATCATAGGATTGATTATGATAACCTACTACACAAGTAAATCTTGTTAATAAATTATTTTGTTTTTTAATCATTAATTTCTCTTAGAAAAGGTCTTTAAGATAATTTTGATATTAAGTTCATTAGTTTTGTTAACTTGGTTTTAGGACGATTCTAGGTCTAACAATGTATTTATTTAAGTTAAAAGGTCAGGTCATCTTTATTGATGATTTATGTTTAATGTTATTAACAAAGTTATAGTTTTTATGTTGTTAAGATTATACTTTATTAATTGTATGATAGAAACTGGTCTCTTTTGTTAAGGTGACAATACAGGATATTTATATAAAATATAATTATAAGAAAGAGATATTAAATAAAATAGAGAAAATAAAAATAAATATAAAATAAAAAATAAATATAAAATAGAAAATAAATATAAAATAATATAATAAATATAATAAATATCACAATAATAGCCGTGATAGCATGAAATCAGTGAAAATGATGATCACAGTTTTTATGGTGATCATTGGTGAAATTAGTTAACGCAGTCATTTAGTAATGTATACTACGTCAAACCTGAAATATTAACTTTATAATGAGTTATAATTAATATTAAAGTTTTACCTTCGATTATCTGATAATAAATTTAATACTATAAATTTTCGGATAAAAAATTTTACAAGATGTGACGTTCAAAACTTTCTATTTTTGTGAATTGATTATTAATCTTAGGAAATAGGGAATCAACCTAAATTTCTTAAGTATTCGAAAGAATCAAAGTTTTGCTCACTCTGAATCCAGTAAAATTTTTGAAATCTTCCTTTTGCTCTTAGCTTTTTTTACCACGAAATCATAGCATAAGCCGTTGTCATCATCTTCGTCATCATTTTCTTCATTCGAGATTATTTGCCTATTTTTACTTTCAAATTCATGTTCACTCATTAAATTTGACGGTCAGTCAATTTTGTGAGGTATCTGAAAAAATCAATTACATTATAAGTTTGTCATTCTTCTTCCTAGAAGATGGAGCCAGTTAATTTGTAACTGGTAATTAACCTGTTAAAGATTTTTAACTAGCGGTTAAAATAGGTGAATTTAACTTTGGCAAAATATATAGAACTTGCTTAAGTTAAGTTAATTAATTGGGTACCAAATATTTTAACCGGATATTAACTTTTTAGGCCAGTTTCAACCTCTATCTACTTCTTTCTAAATGAAGATGCAAAATTATCATAATAACCATCTTCGCTTTAATGAATGACTAAAATAAGAGGATTCGCCATTTCGTTCTTTTCAATAGATAACACTTGTTGAAGATAAATTTCTGGACGGAGAGAAGGAATAAATTCACATGACGAATTATCAGCAGACGATAAAACCAATCTGGTAAAATATATATATTAACCATACTATTTAAAATACAGTAGACAATATCACATAATTAAAAGAGTAAGGACTTACTTTTTTTGATAATATCCTTTATGTGCAAAAACATTGCAATTAGTTCATTGCAACTATAACGTCCTACAAACTGAATTGAATAGGAATTCAACTTTTTGTAATTTATCTTTGAGATGGACTTGAAGCTATTTGAAAAATTTGAAATACAGTAGAAAAATAGATTCTTTACCAAGTCCAAATCCAGCAGTCGATAAAGGACAAGTATAAATTCACACAAATCATTCTGGTTTCTGTATCCAATTGTAGTTTGGTTTCATTTATCGGGGATGCTTCTATCCATTGAAAATGCCCAAAGCAAGGACGCAAATTTTCTAAATTTAAATTTAAAGAAGAGTTGAGACACTAGTATCAATCATTAAGCAAATTACTTTAATGCATCAGAATGAACATGATGCATTTATTCATTTGGGTTTCCATCCTGAATAAATTTGAGGATAAGAGTTTAAAATTAATTTTTAATGAAATATGCATTATTGATTAGCATCGATCTTGAAACAATGCACATCAAACAAAAATAATTTTATGAACTTAAATAATCTTTAGTGTAATTATCTTATACAAAGTATTCATTATTTCAATGCAAATAGCTTCTGAGATCTTGGAAAGTCTTTTGAATTCTTTTCTGGATTAAGTATTTTTGATTAATATGTAATTGTTTGTTTGAAGTAAGCAATGCATTCCTAACCAAGTAAAGTTAGATTTGAACCAACTGTAAATTAACTAATAAATAATTGGTATTGTCACTTGGTATTGCACTTGATTAAATACAAGTATATAAAAAAATATTCCAATTCTGATTCAGATCACCCGCATGTTTTTATGTAATTTATAGTTTCCATTTTTGAGATTATTTATTTTCGATTGGTCACAGATTTCCATTCTTTCCGCCAATTCTTCATTTCTTCACGACATCAGTACCTTGAATTTCTTAAAAAAAAAAATTTTATGCAAATTACTTATTTAATTTCTAACCAAGACCATAGTCAGAATAGATATCAAGTCAAGATGGAAATATGTTGTCACGTTCGATGCAGGTAAGCGTTATTTGGAGCAATGACATCCTGCATTTTTTATTTTAAAAAAATTTTTCAATATTTTTTTTTCGTAAATTAGCAACACTAAAGGTTATAAATTTTACAAAATACATAACATCGAGAATTTATTAACTCCGAAAGTTCTAAACAGATATTTCCATGGAATCAATAAAACTATTGCTGATTTACAATCCCTTCGAATTGTATTATAGATGGTCGATCGATGTGACGACTAAATTTTATTTTTATAGCAGCATCTCGAATAGATAAGAAATTATGGAAAAACGGAAGATAATAATACACAAGATGAAAAGTTAAAATGATAACAAAAAATTTCAGTAATAGAGATTTTTGTATGCTTTCTAAGCTCCAACAGATATTGGAACCGCTATTTATTGTATTAAATTAAAAGATGATAATCAAGACGAATTTATTAAATAGTTTGTAAAATTGTTGAAGTTATGGATGCAGTAGTTAATGAAAATGATGTTGAATCACATTATATTTTAAAAAAATTTATTTTATTGAACTATAACGATAATGGGTATTGTTGTATACAGTTCTTTCATTTTTGTATTTATAAACAATTTTATATTGTAAGCAGAAGGATTTAATAGAATTAAATAAAAATGAAGTAATTGTGACGCCAAATTTATCAACTAATTAGTTTTGCCTCAACATCGGCGCTCCACACTTTCGCAATGTCAATCTATTAAATTTTAATAGCAAAATCTCAAGCGTTATAAAATTAATTCCAAGATTAGTGTAATAATATCTCATAAGAATAAAATTTTATGTATTTTATAATAGCAAATAATTTTAAATATTATAAAATAATAATTTATACATAGTAAAATTTAAATAATAAATTTTAGTATTGCCTTATTAATTAATTCACTTAATATTTAAAATTAGAACAATTTATTATTAGTCAGAAATGTTTACTGTGACGTAGTATTTATTTTTGATCATCATTTACTCAAATCAATTTCTTATCCTGTAAAGTAACTCAGACCCCATATGCGCAATAATAAGTATAAACAGTAAAAATTTACAAAATACATAAAAAAGAAAAAGTACTGCTTATAAGCAATAGTACAGGGTTGAATTTTTAAATATTCAGGTTTAATACTAGTTAAGGAATCGGGTAAATTTGGCAAACTAGTTATTTTAGTATTATAACAATCAAGTATCGTTAAGGAGTTGGGTAAAGTTGGTAAGCTATTTATTTTAGTATTAGAACACCAGAGTTTTGTTAAGGAGTCAGGTAAAATTGGTAGAATAGTTATTAAAGTATTAGAGCAATCAAGTACCATTAAGGAGTTGGGTAATGTTGGTAGGATAGTTATTTGAGTATTAGAGCAATCAAGTACCGTTAAAGAGTTGGGTAAGGTTGATAGGATAGTTATTGGAGTTTTAGAGCAATCAAGTACTGTTAAGGAATTGGGTAAGGTTGGTAGGATAGTAATTGGAGTATCATAATAATAAAGTTCTTTTAAAGAGTTGGGTAAGGTTGGTAGGATAGTTATTTTGGTGCTGGAACACCTGAGTTTTGTTAAGGAGTCTGGTAAGGTTGGTAGGATAGTTATTGGAGTATAAGAGCAATTGAGTTCCGTTAAAGAGTTGGGTAAAGTTGGTAAGCTATTTATTTTAGTCCTATAACAATTGAGTATTGTTAATGAGTTGGGTAATGTAGGTAAGCTATTTATTTTAGTATTAGAACACCAGAGTTTTGTTAAGGAGTTGGGTAATGTTGGTAAACTATTTATTTTAGTATTAGAACACCAGAATTGTGTTAAGGAGTTGGGCAAAGTTGGTAGGATAGTTATTGGAGTTTTAGAGCAATCAAGTGCCGTTAAGGGTAAGGTTGGTATGATAGTTATTGGAGTATCGTAATAATAAAGTTCCGTTAAGGAGTTGGGTAAGGTTGGTAAGCTATTAATTTTAGTACTAGAACATCTGAGTATTGTTAAGGAGTTGGGTAATGTAGGTAAGCTATTTATTTTAGTATCAGAACACCAGAGTTTTGTTAAGGAGTTGGGTAAAGTTGGTAGGATAGTTATTTGAGTATTAGAACAGTCAAGTACCGTTAAGGAGTTGGGTAAGGCTGGTAGGTTCGTAATTGGAGTATCATAACAATATAGTTCCGTTAAGGAGTTCGGTAAGGTTGGTAATCTATTTATTTTAGTGCTATAACACCAGAGTATTTTTAAGGATTTGGGTAATGTTGGTAAGCTGGTTATTGGTGTATAATTACATTCGAGTTCAGTTAAGGAGTTGGGTAAGGTTGGTAAGCTATTTAATTTAGTGCTATGACACGAGAGTATAGTTAAGGGGTTTGGTAAAGATGGTAAGCTAGTAATACTAGTATAATTGCAAATGAGTTTAGTTAATTTACGATATCTTTGTAATCCACCTAAGGCGCTTGATATGTCATCCATATTAAATTCCGTGATCGTTAAACTTTCAATAGTATCATCGTAACTAATATTTAAATCTTCAATATTTGATTCTAATTCCTCTACATTCTCCTGACCAGCCAAATTATGAATAATTTCGGAATTATTTGATTCATAATTATTCATTTGACATTTTATCTGATCAAATCGAATAATTTGAGATGTTTCTCCAAATGAATTAATTATGCTAGAAGAAGCATTGGTGTTATCTAAACGATGTTGTTGATTTGATGGATTATTTTCTGCTATGTTAATTATTGCATTTAATTTATCAACTACTTGATTCATTGATGGACGATTATCTGGCTCATTATCCCAGCACCCTGAAATTAGATAAAAATTTAATAATCATTAATATTCTTATAAATAATTTACATGACATATATTTACCAGTATAAATGTCCACATAATCTTCAGGTGTGCCAGGAATGATTTTTTCTCTAAGCCCTCCTAAAATTTCGATAGCCAAACTTAAGTCGTATTCTTCATCAAAAAAAGGAGGACGACCACTTGATATTTCCCAGAAAAGTACGCCAGCACTGTAAACGTCGCTCTTTTCATTTAGTTTAAATGGTGATGTATTGTCATTTTTTCGTTTGTTAAAAAGTTTTGGGTCAATATAAGGAATTACTCCAAAAGCTTTTGAATGATTAGTTGCTGCTTCGATTCTTTTAGATAGTCCAAAGTCGGCTAGTTTAATAACGCCTTGATGAATCAATATATTACCAGAATGCTATTATATGTATATAAAAAAATATTAATTATTAAGCAATATTCAGAAGAAAATGTTATATTTGTAAAATTACCAAATCACGATGTATAATTCCTTCGTTATGTAAACACGATACAGCACTAGCCAACTGAAATCCCAAGTTATATTTATCTCCCCAAGTTAGCTTATCAAAATTACCCTTTAAATATTTTTTAAGCGAGCCGCTGTCAGCATATTCCATTACTAACCAATATATTTTCAATTGATCATTTTGAT